ATCTTCATTGTACGTCTTTCTTTATTATTTTTTGTTGTTGTTGGTACAGATCAGAAAAAAAATAAATTTTCCTAAAATTAAATTATTTTTTTCCTACAGCAACTGATTTTTTTCGTCAATCTAGTTTTTTTCTTAGAAAATATTTTGTTTGCTTCCATAGTGTAATCACAAGAAGAAACTAATGTACTTTTTTTTATTCTTCTTCTCTTATTAGAAGATAAGTTTTATCATGTCAAATTTTATTTGTTTTTAAAAGTACATTTAATAAATAATTAATGTAGAGAAATTAGAATTAAATTATTTATGTATTTTATTATTTATCAAATTCGTCAATCATAATATACTTAAGTAGTATAAGTATATTTCTTTTTTTGGGGGGGGGGATTTGCATTTTTTTGTATGTATAGATCTTTAACCGTTTCATGTATTAATTATTATGAACCCTTAATAATAATAGTAGTAATATTAATGTTTTGTTACTATATGAACACACAAATATTGGTACAAGAGGGCACCAAATATATATGCTCCACACCATATTTTTGTGTGTTGGTTGTGATACTGCCCGGGTGCCCAGACCGAAGCAGGTGATTTTCTTAGTAGTCCACACCCCGAGCCTTTGACCTAAAGGTCTGATCCACAAGGCAGTGGAGCATCGTAAGGAGATGCAGTCCCATGGTAACCGGTGGCCAACAGTTGGTTCATACGCCATTTGTTCCCTCAGGATACTGGAGCCCATGTGCACCATTGGTTTGGGATCCGGTTAAAGCGCCGGACATTCGCTTTTCGTCCTCTCAATTTCGTAAACAACACCCCCTTCACGAGAAGGCAGTGAGTAGGACTTCCCTGACAGAGGCTATATACGCGTGTCCATGTGAGAGCATTTCGAGAGGGAGAGCGGACTCTCCCCACTCTCGGCCGTACCAGGGCATTTGGGGGCCATTGTTGTTTGTACTTACACATATAGCATTAAAGAAATTTATTTATAATTTGTTGAAATTTTATGTATCGATTTTCTCACAGTATTCAGTAATTTGACATTTAATAAAACGATTATTATTATTACTATCGTGATCACTAAAATAGTAGAATATTGATTATCCAATTATTAATTTACAATGTTTATGAATTAAATCGGGACTTTTCTTTTAAATTTTATCTTCCTAAATTGACAGTTTATTTGTAGGGTGTGTTCATCGTTAATTGACATCATGGGATGTGACAATGTGTGAAATACCTTTACATCATTGATAGGAAATACAATGAATACATCAACAGAATAGTCTTTGAAATAATCGGGGAAAGGTTGTAACTTAGATGAATGCTTTTAATTGTATTGTGTTCTATAACCGTTGATTAGTTTGATTTCGAAGCTCAGCGCTCATCACTCAGCACAACACAAACAATAGCAACTGAGTTATATAAATGACTTTGGATATGTAGTTTGTACTGAATTTCGTATTAATTATGGTTTATAACATTTGATAACTGTCTTCAGGCTTCTATTTACATGGTAAACTATAAGAAGATGGTTATTTCATGATTTATTCTCTAGAAAGTAAAACTTCATACACAATGTTGTGAAAGTCACCTATATAAGGTTAGAGGAGATAAAATAAGAAAAATTGTACGTTAATTGATAAGTATATGAAAAGAATGCTTTATTAGTAAATATCGTCTAAAACTATATTAATAAATGTTAGTCGAAAAGTGTTAGATCCTAATGTCAGTGATGTAAACACTACTATTTGGTTTGTGTAGGATTTCCACTCAATTCTTCTAATCTGAATCTGTGTTGTTTGTTGTGAGATATGATCGAGTTGAATGAATAAAACTGGTGAAAATCTTTATTATCTCTCAGTGAGTTACTTTTTTTGCTTTCTTATTAATCAGACATTACAACGAAAACCTTTGGTTAGTGTATTTGTATAGTGTAGATGCATTATAGATATCATTTTATTTTATTAATTCATACGTGTGTATTCTAACTTTGTTGATCTAATCTTCTTACCTTAGAGCTTTTAAATTTTATTTAGAAACAAGTTAACAGTAAACTGATTGCGTGTACTCATTGTAAGCAATAAAAAAAGGCTTAATTCAAGCATATAACAGAGAATGAAATGGAAACTTAGTGTTTGAACTGTATTCAACTTTTAACTAAGATCAAATATTCAAATCTCATTCCACTTGGAATGATTTGGGTAACTCGGATAGTACGTCTCAAAGCCCTATTTATATTAAATATATACTTGATCATTAAATAATATGGACAGCTTAAATTACTGTTCAATGTTTCATGATTTTCAGATATTGATTTTATTATCATTTTTATTGTTTTGATTCATTCACTTTCTCTTGCATTTTCCTTCTCTCATCTTCTCTTCTTTCGCTTTTTCTCGTTGCTCTGATATAAAATGTGCCAACTTAAACTATATACTCCCACAGTTTCTTAACAGATTCGACGTTTACACATATTACATTTACTTATTAAATAATTGATGATTAAAATACACACATATACACACACAGACATGACGAATTTACTTACTCTTTTAAGAATGTGCTCAAAATTCATGATGAAAAACTATGGGATCAAAACTAATGAGAAAATGACACATTCATTAAATTCCAGTATTCCTTCAGTACGTTTTTTTACTTCTTGTAAAAGTTATATTCCGTTCTTTATCCTTCTTTTTCTTTTTTTTTTGAACAAAGCGGTATCTATGTGTTTGTTTAAAGCAAATTGTGAACAATTACTTTCGTTGTGAAAAATATACCCAAAGCATTTTCAAAGTCTACATTCCTTTCCAGGTCAACCATTTATCTGTCATAAACGTCAAATTTTTTTTTAGTGTTTCTCTGTATCTTTGACTTTGTGTGTGTGTGTGTATGTATGTATGAGTGTTAAGTCACTTTATTATTGTATACGAATATATTTGTGTTTCTTTGTTAGTATAATTATGCCTAATCATGATTGTTGTTAAAAATGACTGTTTAATGAATCTAAAATTTTCCTTCCACAAAAAAAAACTGTGAAAGAAACATGAGATGGATTGAATTCACCAAGTTGAATAGTGTTTTTTTTTAAAAGTTGATGATGATAGATTAGAATGAATCGTTAGAAGGTGTGTTACACTTGTTTCAGTATTATTATTTACAATCGTTTATTATTATTATTATTATTATTATTATTATTATTATTATTATTATTAGTAGTAGTAGTAGTAGTAGTAGTAGTAGTAGTAATAGTAGTAGTAGTAGGAGGAGGAGGAGTGTTATTGCTACCACTAATTATACATTACATATTAGCATTTTATTATACTGAAATGTATTTTTCAATGTTGATTTATCTAGTCTTTGAGATACAACATGTTTTTTTATTGTTTTTATCATTCTCCATTCATCAAAAACCTTAAAATTAATGTGTCTCAATAAAGCTCAACACTTAACATATAACATTTTATTATATTTACACTTGAATCATTTGGGTATAAATTGTATGCGTAAGTTTACTAAGAATGATTTATTAACTAACAAAACTTTTTACATGATGTTCATCATTAATCTATAGACAGTTTTGAGAGGATATTTATCCAAGTTAGGGAGCATTAGTCCATTGTTGTAATAAAGATTTTATTAGATTACAAATATTCATAGATATAATGATAAGGTAACGTGCTCAACTACTACACTCGATATGATCTAATTAAATATTAATGCAAACTTGTTTTGGAGCAATATTTTGACTTTATATAGAGGAAAATGGTTTCTAAATAGTTGTATTGTTTACAAAGGCTCTCAGAATAGTCATCATTTTGCTGACGTCTTTCTTTAACATGCTTACACAAACCTTCTAGGAAAGTTGAAAAGGCATCATTTAACGCCTCAGTCCCAAACATAGATCTCAAGGGTTTCTGCTAATTTCATGTAAAGCATGGTCAAATTCACCTGGTAATTATTTACAGCCATCAAAGGGTTAGTCACGTTTGTGGAAGATAATTAAATTCCTTCAATGTTATTGGTTCGCTATGATGTTGAGGGATCACAGATATGAATCATAGACCCTAGTCTATACTGCTGAATGTCCCTAAATTTCAGTCATCAAACAGTTTGCACCACCATGCCGAGTCGCTTATTTTCTTAACAATGCTTTAAAAATATTCGGTTACTTAAGTTGAATTAGCTCCAAGTCCTAAAATCACAACGTTAGTTATCTTTTAAGGAATGATTAGCTTAATATTTCGGAGTACAACGTAATGTTTTAGCATTTAGTTATACGTTTTTAACGAAGTCAGCATTGAGAATTTAATAGAATGTGATCCCATCCCTTTTTGTATTAAAGAGACCATATGTTGCACAGTTTTTGTTTATAAATGTTAAGTTCTTTCATTTAACAATTTTTCTAACTCATATTTTTTCATTACCTGTCTGATTGGTTACTAACTAATTTTATATTTGCTCCAAGGTTATGTTTTCGTTACTATATACACGATGTGGTATTATTTCAGTTTGTCTGTTTGAATAACAAGTTTTACTGCACTCTCAACCTTCTTCTGTGTTCCTTCGCAACTGAATATTATTGTAGTGGGTATGTTTGTTGCCGTTTCGTTGAGTCTGTCGTAGAGACACGTTCGTATTAGAATAAACTTGGTCGTTTTCTAATTAATAAGTACCGTAAGCCTATACCGAACAAACTCCAATACTCAGCAATATCATATATTTTATCTTGGTCAACAATTTATGCTCTGTTGATGGCGTTTATAACTTGTAGCACCAAATGATTCATGCTTCAGTTAATGTTAAAAAACAAGTCCCTTCATGATGTATTATACAGATTGTTTTTGAGTACTGGTAAGTTCAATACTGATATCCAGAATTGCCTGCCGATCGTTTTACATTTGATTTGTTTCAGTCCAGTTCCCCCTTCTCAAATGTATCAGCAGTAATATTCCATTATGCTTCTGTTAGTTTCATACTGTTTTCTTTATGGTTACTATCAGGTCTGTTGGGGTTCTTACATATTATCTACTTACTGGAATCTCTCCATTTCTTGGTGAAGATAAATATATCACAATGCAAAATATTACTCATAATACAATTACGTATCCTGATTCCCTTTTTAATAATCGTTCACCCGATTCAATTGACTTTATTCAGCGCCTTCTACAACGTTCACCGACGTAAGTTTTGTGTAGTACATACATGTTTTATTTTTCTCAGTTTTAGAAAATTGATTTCGTTGATGGTTTGAGTAGTATTTTGTTCTTCTTAAAAATGTTACTGAACTGGTACTACAATTAGAACAGATGATGAAAATATCACGCCACTACTTTTATTTTATTTTTTTCGATTCAGAGACAGGTGAAGGTAAAATGAAGCGAATTTTCATTGTGTATTTCTCCAACCGTTGTTGCTATCTTTACTTGTTGATCGGGCTTGCCTATCCTAATGACCTGGCTGAGCTATATTTGGTGGAACAATTACTTCGTTAGGTCCAACTTTTTCAACCTGGTCAATTGGGGAACAGTAAGACTAAAAGCAAAATATTCATTGTCCTAGGGGGGGAGTCGTACTGCTAATTGTACTGAGGTGTGATGAGAGTAAGGTATCTCCCAGCATCTTCAACGATATTGTCTTTTCCCAACAGAAGGAAGAGAGCTGGAAAAGTTTGACCCAAGAAATGTTACGTCTCACCTTACTTCGCGGGTTTTGGTCGCAAGTGGTAAGACCTTTCGAGGCACGGAGCTAACAAATTACAAACGTCTCACCTACCTTGAGGAGTTCTTCCTTGGGCTGTGTGGTCACACTTCCAGAACTCTACATCCACTCTGAACCAGTTCCTTTTCTGGTCTCCTATGAAGAAATACTATTCCTTGATTTGGACAACCGGAATGTGAAAACCTCTTTTACTCCTCTAACTGCACTGATTGTGCATTTCAGATTATATGAAGCATCTTTCTGATACTACTAAGCCGAAACAGATTGATTTTAGAAGTATTGAACTGTTACTAAAGTTTAAACACTTGTGTTTATATGGTGGATAGACTCTGTAATGATCATATAACTTTCATAAAACATCATATCATATTTATTCTGTTATTTATGTGTTATTATTATTTGCATTATACTGTTGTGTTCGTACTCTAATCTAAATTATTCACGACTACGGTATAAATCGAAATTCATTCGACTTTTTCGGTTTTTCATTTATCTAACAGGTAGGTACTTACTTAGGTAGGCAGGTAGATAAATAAATCCAACACATTGATTTATTGGATATGATATACTATTTAGTTTCATGTATTTATAAATTATAACGTTTAGATATTAGTTATTATTCTGCATGTTCATTTTCATGATAACAATTCTTATGTGCGTAACAGTTTGAAATTGTTTGTATCAGTCTATTTATTCAATGATTGAATAGTGCATTCACTTAAATAAACTAGGCATATATATTTCAACTGATTCATTGTAAATTCAAATCCTGTTTCACTCAAATAGTATCATTAAATTTTAGACTAAATGTATGCTATTTAGCTTTGACTAAAATGGACTTCCTTTCTCTAATAAATTAGGTCATCATAAAGAATTACACATTGCGTGTGTTTGTTTTTCCATTTTGTAGTTTTGTAGTTTGAGCACCTTTATTTAGACGTTAAAAAGTTACAAAGATTCCATTTTGTCCCTACGATATACGACCTTATAGTTTTAGAAATCTGATCCCATACGTAAATTTGACAGTTCTTAACTCTTTTTTTTCCTCCAAATTACTGTTATGCTAGTGAGGATTGGACGTCGAGTAGGTATAACTAACACATGTTTTAGATAATGTTAGTTTACAACTCTACTTGGTGGGTACCATTATACACAAGCGCTGCTTCAGTTTCACTTTTGAAAATTAAAACCATTTAACGTAGCGTTCGCTCTGTTTTCATTCATCGATACAAATGGTTTGATTTGTATATTAATTGTAAGTCGTTAAAACAATCACTTACATAATAATTTAGATCATATTCAAACTGGTTTTACACACTGGAATGTGGAGTTAACGGTGAATTCACTAGGCTTTCTATCGGTCGGTTTCAGGTTTGAACCCCACTCCACCTATTTCAGTTTGGCCAGCCAGCTAGAATCATTAGGACTCACATAAACAGCTTGATAAAATTAAGCGTTTTATAATTAGTGAACCTCAATCATATTAGTTGTAAGCAATCTATTTACCAATTCGGAATTAATAACCGTAGCGTTTTGTGTTGGAAATTAAGTAGATTTCAAACATTCAACCTCAGCGAATTCCTACTCGACCCCTTCTAAAAGCATCTCAGTCTCTGTGAAAACTAACAGTACTAACAGCGTCGTGGATACGTACTGACGATGAGTCCTGAATTAAGATGAAACAACTGTCTGACTTGACTCTTAGTTCCTCCCCAGTTGATATATATTTATGGGTATTAGAGAATGGTGGTAAATCAATTGATGAGGTTGTGAAGCTTTATCGACTGAGATGGTTGGGCCATGTGTTACATATGCCTGAACACCGATTACCACAACGCGAAATGCTGACTAGTGTTGTGAGTGGTTGGAAGAAACTTAGGGGCGGCCATACCAAAACGTGGTATCAGTGCTTGAAGTCACTAACTTCTGATGTGAGTCATGTTGGTAGATGCAGACTACTTGGTTGTGGTCGACGCGACTATGGTAAACACTGGTTGTAGAGTGTGTGTGACATGACTTAGAACCAATCACAATGGTGTCAGTGTATACACTCTTTGTCTTCCCTTAAACTGTGAGATTAGAATTACTTTATAACTTTCTTTCTACGATCTAATTTTCTCTCTTTATATGGAATCTTTCTTTTATTTATCACCACCATTGAAGTAACTATTATGAGTTTGATGTTCGTCTTGTTTTGCTAATGAGGTATGGCAACTTGGATAGATGCATATATGTACCTAGTCCTACGTTGTAGCTGACTGACTGATATATATTCATGACAAAAATCACCTTTAAAATATATATGTATAGACAAACTTTGTTCTCAAATTAAAATTTTCATTCCCATATATGTGATAACGAGAGTGACAGAAGAAACAATTGTTGTAATGCTTTAAAATTACTTCCTTTTATCGATGCTATTCTTATTATTGTTAAGTAGGAAAGTTATTGATGCTGTGTGCGATACGCTTTTCTAATTTAAAATAAATTGTCGCAAAAATCATGCTTATTCATATTACATGTGAATCATGTATGATTCATGATGTAGTTACTAGTTAGTTGTTCTTATGTTGTTGTTCTTTTTTAATGTCAATTTCTGTCTGGGTTATGACTGATTTAAATGATAATGATGACTATAATAATGACCATTTTATCTAATAATAATAATAACAACATTAACAAAGAAAGACAATTTAGCTTAAATCTACCGTGTTTTTAGCGGAATTATTATAATTACAAAAGTATAAGGAAGAATTCCTTTCAGATATTTAGTTGGAAGGTGAATAGAATGAAGGATCATTACTGTTTGCTTATCTATCCATATATATATATATATATATATATATATATATATATATATATATATATATATATATATATATATATCAGATTTGATAAAGCATATGACTTTTGCTTATGGTTAAGATACAGAGAGAAGTTTCAAAGCTTGTAGAATCAGTGATCTACAAGCTTTTCAGTATATAGGTTAGGTTTCTGTATGTGTATTGTGATAACTTCAGTGTTGGGTAAAAAATGAACCCGTAAACTATGTGGTAAATTTAATGGATTATAGTAAATAAAATTTTTGTCCGAGTCAACTTATATGTCCTGGGCTAATTAATCTTAATATCTTGATTATCCATTGCTCAACGCATCCTGATAGCCTTCTGTTATACAATTACTTATGACGTATCTAACTTGCTAAACAGGAAAAGTTATATTGGTAAGGACACATAGATGTGATGAATTTAGGCAGTCTATCTTTGTTAGTGATTTTCATTATCGAATGATTGTAAAGAACCGCTTTCAATTTAAATGCAATAATTTTTTTTATCAACAGTTTTTCTTAGTCGTTTTATCAGTTAAGGTTTAGGGCTAGGTTTAGATGATGACATCTTGCAAAAACACATTTCGTTTTCTAAATTAAACTAACTTTGAAACTGAAACGTCTTTCGCTCTGGTTTTCTTGCAAAGTTCAAGTGTCAAAGTTTGTGGGAGAAGGGTCTAGAGATCGATCTACTATTCAATGTCTCAAACACTTAATGTATAGAGCTTATTAAGAATCTGCAATGTGGTTTTTTGCTTTATTTTGACGTCATAAATTCCAATGTTTTTCTACATTGTAACAAATATTAGTAACCCTAATATTAGACTGGAATTTACTACCTATTGTTTAAAGTAGAAAGTTGTTATCCATCAAAATATTCACGGTTATTATCGTTACTATAACGATTATTCAAGTAATAATAGAGAGAATAGTAGCGACATTACAAGCTGTGAGCCTGGACAGCTCGGATCTGAATCTGACAATTATTATGATTTCTTTCAAGCTTGTAGTGTTGCTTCTTGCTGATTTATACCAGGTACCACTAAACCTTGTTTCATAATTTTCATCCATTTACCTCCATCCACCTTGGACCATAGAGATGTGAGATTGTGATCAAACGTGTTTTCCACTTTGTCGTTCGAATGTTAGTTTAAATGTCATTATATGCACGTTTTTACACATTCATACTAACTGATCGCTAAATAGTGGTGGTAACTGACATTATGTTGTCAATTTATTAGTGCTGACTAAATTCTATCGATTACATTGCATATTAACTGTTTATCTGATTGCGTGCACACTATCTTTCGAGATAAGATGGTTGAAAACAAACGCCAAGAAACTGATTTTGGATGTAGGTTTCAGGCTATTTGACCCTCTTCAACAAGATGTATATAATCTCGAACTTCTAAAACTAATGGGAACATTGCAACTTAATCAATAGAATTCGATTAGCACTAAAGGGCTAAACAAACATTATATTGGTTATTACTCAAAGATCAACCAATTGTAAATGTTTTGATGGTATATGACTAGGCGCAAGCCACAAGAAGCTCTGTTTTTATCCAGATTATATGCCAGTTGTCACTCATCATCATTATCATCAAAATATCTCGTCAATTCTGAGACAACTGATGCTTCTCGCCTCCCCACACTACCCATAAGATATCTTGATTTGGATTACTTAGTTCCAGCCAGTTATTGTAAATGTGTGCTTGTTGCTAGTTGGTACCACCCCTTTAACATCAAAACACTGCATACATATTTCTTTATTACCCTTAGTTTTAATAGTATGGGTGATTTTTTTTTAAAACAGCATACGTTCGTCACCATCAGTCTATCACATTCCATTCATTTTATGCCATTTTATCTTTCCCTTATGCATTTAACTTACATTTCTTGTTTCTCTCTCTCTCACACACACACTTTATCATTTTGTTTATGCATTTACTTAATAATCACTACAAAACTATGTTTGTGATTTAGGTAGTAAGAAAAAAGAAACCAAAGAAAATGGCAATTCAACACAATTAATTTCCAAAATGATATATAATATTTTGTAGTGGTAGTAGTAATACGGCTATTTTTCCTTCTTTTTTTTTCATTTTCACAATTTTTTTTCGATTATTAGGATTATTGATTTGTTGCTGTGTGTTTTTTTTCAATGTATTTTTGGCACACGGATTCTTTTTTTCGAATTTTCTTTCATTTTACTTCCCTGTTCTTTTTTTCCTCTTGTGTTTTTCGAATGTCTATTTATTTATTTATTTATTCTGATATTGAATAATTGTATAATAAGTCATGTTTATCGATCTATAACGAAATTATATATATATATATATATATATATATATATATATATATATATATATATATATATATATATATATATATATATATATATGGGTATATGCATTTATATACACATGGAATGATCGCTTCCATCGGCTTAATCACTATACTTTGGTCAGTACATTGTCGTTTCTTACCTTGTTCTACTTATAATTCACTTCGATTAGCACCCCAAAAATTTTGAGTTGATGGGGGGTGGTTATAACAATGGTGAATGATTTCATTGAAATTACGTATTCCAATCCAAATCGGATGATTTAATTGTGAAGCTTTCATTTTCTTTCTAGACTTGTGAAGAAATTCTCATAGCTTATTTCCATCTGAAGTCTATGCTGATGATGATAATTTCATCTGGAAAGATAGTAAAAGTTTATGAGTTTTACTAAGAGATTTCCATTGATCTGACTATAGTAGTCTGTACTTGATTGTTGAATATTTTTGCTATAATGTTTACGATGTCAATTTTTCGTTTCAGTGCTATTTCATTAGTAGTGCTGTAAAAATACTTGATATTCAACTTCGTTTATCTTTGTAAAGATGATTCAAAATAAAAAAAAGCTGTTATTGAACACATAAATAGAGTTTCAGTTTTCGTATAGCCAGGGCTTCAATAAACCTGAGTATATACCGTTGGACCCTATTGCATAACACTAAAAAGAGTGACTCGATATTAACCCTATGAATGATCTCAACCAAATGTTTCGCAGCCCCCAAATGCCCTGGTACGGCCGAGAATGGGGAGAGTCCGCTCTTCCTCTCGAAATGCTCCCACACGGCCACGCGTATATAGCCTCTGCTAGGGAAGTCCTACTCACTGCCTTCTCGAGGTAGGGGTGTTGTTTACGAAATTGAGAGGACGGAAAGCGAATGTCCGGCGCTTTAACCGGGTTGGTGGACATGGAGACTCCACCTAGGGGAGTTGGAAAACCCTGATTCCAAACCAATGGTGCACATGGGCTCCAGTACCCTGTAGAAACCAATGGCGTATGAACCAATGGTTGGTCGCCGGCTACCATAGGACTACATCTCCTTACGATGCTCCACTGCCTTGTGGATCAGACCTTTAGGTTGAAGGCTCCGGGTGTGGCCTCCTTAGAAAACCACCTGTTTTGGTCTAGGCACTCGGGCAGTATCATATCCCTCACACATATCAAATGAGATTTGTGTGGCGCATATGTAACTCGTGCCCCCTTGTACCAGTATTTATGTGTTCAAATAAATACATAAATGTTTCGCAAAAGAGGATATTTATTCATGCTATGATCGTATTTGTTCATTGCAGTTCTGTTTTTTTTAAGCCATTCAGGTTTGTTTCTTCATAGTTTTGATAAACTTCATCTTCATATTGCATTATTCAAATTTATCAACAGAAAAACTGATTGTTTTAAATTTAACATTTCTCATGTTGTTTTAAAAATAAAAACACTTATTACTTATTATTTGGAGGTAAATTCATAGGGGAAATTGTAAGAACTCATCTCTTTACTGAATCAATCTTCCTTGTTTCTATATTTCTCAAGTTGATTGTAAGTAAATTACATTTTATTCTAACAATCTAGTGCATCATTAATAATAATAAATTTTCATTTGATCAAATCATATTTGTTTGTTTGTTTGTTTTGTTTTTCTCTTCTTTTTTTACATTACATGGACACATTTTTTGTTTAGATACAGGTTATTATATTTATTGTTTATGCTTTTATACATTTTCCATAGTTTGCATAACTCTCTCTTTTACATACTTTCACTCAATTATTTATATTTTTTTCACCTTCTGTACCTTCTCCTTTGAAATCCCATCACAACAGTTTACCGCTTTAGTCGGTTTTATGTTTTATTTTCCCTCTCTCCAGTGTATTTTGTAAAAGAAAAGACATTTGTATTACATCCCCTCTCTCTCTATCTCTCATATATATATTACGTAATAATGAATGCTACTGTAAAGCTTTTATTTATTTGTATCCTCAATCATAATAATAAGTATTCGAAAATATTCGAGAAATAGTAAACTTTAATAAAACATTTTATCTCTCTTGCCATAATCCAATGAACTAACTAAGTAACTAACCATTCGACTATTTATATCTGTATATATTTACTTATAATGATAATAATCTTGTCCAAAATGTAAGTTCTACACATTTGTCCAGAATTCCACACAAATTCTTTAGATATTTCTAAGAAATTTACCATAATTCTAATCATAGGAAGATTATTCTTAAAATACCTTTAATCAAGATTCTTTGCTTTATGGTTGAAAAAACAACAACAACACTTAGATAAATCATGTGAAATTACAATAAGAAAATAGCTAAAAGACAGTAACATATATTTTTTTTCACTAATGTAAGTACTTTTTTTCTGTTGTTGCCAAACACAATCCTTCTTATTGAAAACTGATATAAATTGAAAAGAATTAATGTAAGCTATTGAATAACAGATAGATAGTTGGTTGCTCTGTTTTTTCATTTGGGCTTTCTAAACATTGAGCAATTGTCCACCACCATTTAAAGGTATACAAATTTACAACTAGATTATTTGTGTATTCATGATGAAAACCATGTTTGTTTAAAAAAGATGTTGAGCGATAATAATAATAATTTAAAATACGATTTTAAATTGCTGTAATATCTTAATCGTAACGCAAGTCTAAACAAGAGAGATATTTTCAATGGAAGTATTAATAATAATAATAATAATAATAATAATAATAATAATAATAATAATACTTAACACTTAAAGTTTGGGGTAAGATAGAAGGTAAGCGCAGCTGTTTCACTGTTACCCGATTTTGCACTATTTCACACAATTTCTACAATCGATGAGTATTAGTATTACGTAGGGGCTGCAACTGAAAAGTACACGTCTGCCGATATGGTTCAGACGAGTAATCTCAACGACTTCATTGATTAGTACTATTTCATGTTATCGTCATCTCCAACTTTATTCCAATCTACTTCTGTTGTATCCTGATAAGCATAGTGAATGGTAATTTTTGGGATCCATTTCTGAACCAATATTATGAGTATATTTTTATCGTATAATTGTTATGTAACTAAACTGTTCATATTCATGCCCCTCTTATTATGAGCTTTATTTTGACCTATGAACTACTATTAAACGATTTACCATTCATGAATCATTCCGTCTGTTAATTACTACCTCCCTCATTCACAGCCACATCTGGCTAATTTTTGTACAAATGTTGTTTCATATTTTATTGGTACGTTGTGGTCGGTTTGTTTGGTATATAAACTCAGTATGCTTGAAATGTAATGATTTATATCTCAGAGGCTGAGATTGGTGTTTTGGACTCAACTGACTGGGCTAGACAGGGAAGTAGGGCCAATCAGGACTCTAGGTCGTTCTTACGTGTTTTACGCGTCTTTGGTCCGATCGATAATTCACTGCCGTCTAATCCGCAGTCACAGTTATAACAATTGTCGACGGGGTAAAAAGACGATCCAAGGTCAAGTTATAACAATTTCTTTGTGATAGAGAATCATATTGTTTTTCATTTAAAATTGAAATAAAATGGATTTATATTATTGTATTTGGCAAATTTTATGCACAATTAATCAGAGAATAATGATTATATATGAAAGCACCATTGTCTATTCGATCATAGAATTTTATTAAAATCTGTGAGATAATTATCTCTACAAAGAGTTTTAAAAGGTACATGTTAATCATAAAGTAATGTTTGACTGTTTCTTTTTAATTATTCTATAAGTATTTGTGTATGTTTACTTCTGTTATACTTAAACCCTGAGTCATAATTTCTGTCATTAACTCTACTTTTTCAGTTGAGTCTAGTTGATGTAAGTACTTCTTTTAAAACGAAGATTGCATTTTATCAGTTTACTGTATTGTTTTATTCTTTACTCACATCGCTTTTATTCTCGTTATTTTTCTCTTTCAAGACAACGTATGTCTGCCAAAGAATGTCTCAATCATCCTTGGCTCCTTCAGTCATTAAACCAACCAATCATAATCGAAACAGAAATTAATCATCAATCATCACAAACCACACTGTATAATGGCAAGAATAGTAGTAGTAATGATGATAATGTGAAATACGCTATTGAATTATTCAGTGTAGATCCAGTTGTTGAAATTGTTGATGAATTTATATCACCACATTGTTTAGCCCAGTTTATAGTACAATCTCCTGTATATACTGTTTCATATGTAGATGTTGTTAGTCAAACAAATTTTTCTAAACTAATGCCTTCATTAAAATTATGTGTTAACTATCTTCCTATTATCAACTCAGCAGCATCTACACATTCTACCTCTTCGATAAACAACCACCCATTATCATCCGAACAGTTTATTAGAAAGATATCCAAAAAATTAATCAATGGACATTTCAATCTACTTAAAAGTCTTTCCGAGTTAACCGAAATTTGTTCAAGTAATTCGAGCAGTGACAATCGTTATGTTGATACTGACAAGTGTTATCAGTTGATGAATAGGCATCCCATCGGTATACATGATGAATCAAGATCATTAACCAGTTATTCTAAACTACCCATCAACAACTTGTCAAATTCTAACGTAGTTGAGTATAATAGTTGGAGAAACAACAAATCGACTGGAAATTGTGTATCAATTTATTTATTTATTTCAAATTATTTACAAGAATATCAATTATTCTTAATGTTTTGTGATTTAAATTATTATAAATTACTTGATCGTGATTTTTATTTCTTTAACCGTCATAATACTACTAATATTGTTGATAGTAGTAGTAGTATCAAAGAGACTATTAATACAAATACTGAGTTATTTGTAAATTTTCCATTGTCAAGCAAAATTCACCAACAGAAACAACAACAACCTAATGAAAATGATATAACTCAAAATGTAATGAATAGAAATTATGAAATGAAAGAATTAATTACAATATCTAAATATACTACTGATATAATGCCAAAAGTAAATGAAATTATTCCAAAAAAATTTATAAATTCACATATTTCTACAATTCGTATTGAATTAAATTCATCAATAAAAGAAAAATTGAAGCTAATGAATTCCTCAGATGATCATTATAATTTTAATCATAAAAGAGACTATTTGTCCTATGACTTTTGTAAGTTATATGATATTTTTAAAGTATAATTTAATTGATATCAAGAAGGAGTTTTGTGAATATTGTAGTAGTTTCAATGATTGAGATTGTGAGTCAGTTGATGTTAGACCACCATGGGAAACCTGGTTTCCCATGGTGGTCTAACATCAACTGACTTACGATCTCAATCACTGAAATTACTATCATCTAATTATTAAAAAAAGGTGGATTGTTTTGTTTTTAATAAATTGTAAAATCAAACTTATATAAACATTCAATAGAAGGATGATTATGGTACCGATTAATTATTTTAATGAATTGGTGAACAAATAATTCGTTTCCAAAAATGGGAAATATTAAATCTCATTTTTGTAAGAATTAATACTCCCAAGATCATAGGTATATTTAAGTGACGATGGCTAACTAACATGAAACCTAGGTCAAATAGAGTACACTGTTTGCTATTTTCAACCAATCGATGGTCTTAGTGATGTTTGAATTCTTATCACTAAGCTTCATAATGAATTGCATTATTCAGATCTTAACTGATCTATAAGACTAACACATACATCTTCAATATTTGAAATCGAATTTTATGTCCAAAGTCAGTGTTACTCTGTTGTTTAAACTGAAATGTTTAACAACTATATGATTTAGTTAATTTTTAATTCTGTAACATTCAACCTAGCTATCAAAAATATTTAAGTCTTAGTGTTTAATTAATATTTATTTATTATTTCCTGAATCTATTACAACATCTCATTAGTGTTATTCACTTGAAGCAGTCAGTCAGCTACAACGTAGGGCCAGGCACATATATGCATCGGTCCAAGTTGCCATACTTCATTAACACAACAAGATGGACACCGGATTCATAAAAGTAGTTAGTTCAGAGGTGGTAATATATAAAAGAAAGATTGCAATAAGGATATAGTACTGGAAGAAAGAATTCGTTCGTAGAAAGAAAGATATGAAGCGATTTTAATCTCTTAGTTTAAGGGAAGATGGAGAGTGTATACACCGACGCCATTGTCATCGATTCTGAGCCATGTCACCAAGAGTCTCCAACCATTGGTTACGATAGTCACTTGAAGCAATAGTTTATGAACTAGATTTTATGAAATGTAACAAGTTAGATTGCAAATTCCGATACGGTTCCGTCATAATTTAATATTAATAGCCGTGTAATACAAAGATAATTACATGAATCTGTACCCGATAGATGTGTTATATTGTTATTTAGTATTGTTCATGGTTCCTATGTGACTCAGTAGTTATAGTAATGATTTAGTCGTTTTAAAATACATGAAAATTAACTCATCATATAAAGCTCTGTATAAGTTAGACATTTACTGTGCATAGAAAGAATAAAGTTGATTTTATTCAGTTATAGCGATTCAATATTCTTTAACTTTGCGTAGAATAACATGATGAATGCATGAAATGTAATTTGTTTCGCGTGTTATGAGTTTTATTAGTATTCACTACTTATAAGTAGTGAAATATTTTCAAAAGAAATATGATTCGATATTATTTTGTTTGGGTAAAATCTTGGCTAATTTTCTGTGTGCAATATAGCATAATGCATGTTTTGAATCTGTGTTTCTGTTTCTAATGTCATACACATAAATGATAATGTATTTATTTGTTTCCATTGACATGGGATGTTTCTTAAAAATGATTCAGGTTGAAATTTCAATCACAACTATTGAGAAGCAAAGAACATTGCACCGCTTTTTCATTTTATTATGTGACTTTTCAGTAGCGCACATGAAGAACCTCTTATCTTCTCAATAAACATGCTATTAAGTTGTGCAATTGTTCACATTTTTAAAAATTTTATCCAATCATCGATATATGTAGCTTCGGTCTTTATTCTGGCTTCCAGACAAGCTAATTTATTTATTCTTCTTGATTCACATTTTGACCTTGTCAGCTATTCGCTTATCAACTTAACATGAATTATTGATATGACTAAAGCATAATTATGATGGTGTAGAGTAAAATGGGTTGATATTGTGAAGGAATACTCTTAGCATTGACTACTCAAAATGATGAATGATTTCGGTGTAGAGTATTTATAAATTTAGTTGAAGGTTTTAATAAAAGGTTATTCGTACAATGAATTATTTGTCGAACCCTGCATCGTACGTCTATAACTAATCGACTCTGCAGTCGAAAGTAATAAAAATTGATATTTATTTTGATTTAAAGTCAATTTCGCAGGATAATCTGCAAACATATTTAATACAGTTAATCAGTTCACGTTTGTGATGTTCTTTTTAAGGTGTATCAGAAAATATATGTGATCTGTCGTTACACTGTATTATTGTGCACTAAATCAGTTGGGAATTAATCTTTGGAAGTACTCTATACCTTCTGAATGTGAAGTACTGTTTGACCAGCATGTACTTTTTTCACTTTTTGTGGTGTACTACTGGAAATATTTGAAAAAAAATTGTTTACCTGAGTAGATATTTTGGTACTGGTGTTAAATTCAAAAATGAAGTCAATGTATGTATAGTGAAAGGTAGGGCGACTTTTACCTACATAAATTATCTTTAGGGACAATGTAGTTCCAGTTTAACTCTAAAAGTTCTGCTTTGTAACGCACCAGTGAAATCGATTGTGTTTTATGCTTTCGAGTTGATGATGTTTGGCCACTCTTTACGTTTGATCATCATTGCTTCTGAGAAATTGACAATTTTCGGTAAAAACCATGCTAGTAATGCTAATGGGTAAACCTTATTTATATGCATAATGCTTAATTACTAGTTTCATACTAAATATCTTCCCATCACCATCAGTGAGCAGTGCGACTAAATCAGTAGTCCGCACCAGTCAATGTAGATGTTGGCCGAATCGAACTAAGTATAGTGATGCAGTGTACGAAAAATTCGCTTTGAGTTACATAAAGTCGTCCTGCTTCATATTTGGTGACTTTTATAAAACGACTTATTGTTTATACTAGTGATACAAATAAAAACATTCTTTATCTGACAAACACCAAAAATGGTAATTTTTTATACCTTTGGTTCTCGGCCTTCATTCAATCAGTTTAAAACAGCACAGAATTACTAAATGAGAGCCTAGACGGTCATTTCGAATGGAGTCTAGACATGTGCTTTTATTAACAGTGTGGCGTGTGCTACTAATGTCGACAGATATGAGTAGTATGTATCATCCGTCGAAATTAAAATGCCTGGAGGCAAAAGGTTAAGAAGATCGAAGAAAAGAAAACAGAGAATGTTTGCTGTGAAAACCAAGGAACAATGATGTCTGAGACGATTGATTGACATTTTGCAAATGAACCATTTACTATATGGTTCTCTGATTTTACTAAGATATTCTGTAATTTTATGTTCTAATGCATTCGATTATCCCCATTTGTGTTCTCGCTCACTACATTAGTAAGCCATGTACTTTGGCTACTAGGTTTAACTGATCTACACCGTAAATATCAAAAGTTATTATCAGTTATATTACAATAAATGTTTCCGTCTTATCCTATAGTATAATTTAAACAGCCTGTTATTTAGTAAGAAAAAGAGAAAATTTTCTTTTCGACGAAATCATTTACTTAAGCTGTACATTCGTATATATAGTTATATGAAAATGTATGTCTATAGAAGGATAGAAAGGATTGTATCACAAAATTGATTCGAGAATAAATAACAAATGAGGTTAACATACTAATCAAGCGGTAAGAGAGAACAAAATTTATGGGTCAGTTCCAATCCAATATTCCGTGATACATACTACTAAATATAAAGAAAACTTTCTACTTTCTTTTTTAAATATTACGAAAAATAATGTTCATCTTGATTGAGTTTTGTTCTTGTTTGGCTTGTTTGGCGCTGATGAAGTTTTTGCTGATGATGCCCGTTCAGAAGAAGGATGAAAGCACCACGACCAAAACATCCATCTCAGAGAACAAAACTCTATCAACATCATCCATCTTAGCTATAAATCTTCTCCACTATCCTCATAATAATCATCCAAGTATAATTATCTTAGATTAAGTTATTTGTTTAATTCATTACACGATTTATTTCGAAATTTATGTTTTAATTTTTTTATTTATTTTCAATTTCTATTTGAATTATGGTGCCTCTATTTTCTTCTTCCCTTTTTTTCTTTAAAAAAAAATGTACATGGCGTCTTTATTTTTACTGAAGTTCATCTTCCAAAAAAAAGTTAAAATTCAATATTGAATGAATCAATTATTTTTTTCTTTTGATTTCTTTATTACTTTTTTTCTTCTTTTTTTTAAGTCTATTTCATTATTCACATGGACTCATCTTTATCAATTTCATAATATTAACGTTCTTTTTTATTGATTTTAATTTGTACATTTTCTTTGAATTATATTTATGATAAATTTTCTAGAAAGAAAAAAAATAAAAAGAAAAAATAAATAAAAAAATACTTTTTTTATGTCATTTAAACAATTTCCTTTTCTTTTTTTGTTTTTGTTTGTTTGTTTGTTTGTTTACTTATGTTCATGTAATTTACAACAACAAAAAATGTGAACATTTTATGGAATATAAATGACTTTTGGTGTTTTTTTTTCTGTTTTTTTTTCAAGATTCTCTAAGTATTAGGTTTCTTTTATAGAATATAGGTTTAAGCTAAAGATGATGAAATATGATTTTTCTCCCATGGAATTAATTGTATTCTATTGGTTGAGAATGTATATGGTTTTATTTTTTGGGGGAAAAATATATTTATTGGCCAATTATTTATATACTTTCAATTCGATTAGCCAACATCATCTTTATACTTACTCAGGTTTTTTTTTATATAAATGTATACATCTGTAGCAGACATAGAGTAGTAATCTTACTGCATAATAAAAATCTCCCTTAGCATATAAAGGTAACGATTTAAATGTTTTTGCTAGAGGCTGCAAACACATGACCAACCGTACGAAAGCATTTTTATAAATAGAGTACACTTCTCAGCAGTTAGTCAGTTAGTGATCTTGAGTGTTGTTAGAGGTATGAGGGCGGTTATCACTTCCCAGTTGCCCATACTGTGGAAGGTTTATTCTAAAGTTACTTAGAAAGGAAATTGGTTTAGAGGTGGTCTTAGTGACCTGAGAGCGTGACCGCAGTGCCCAAGGAACAACTGCTTGAGGTCGGTCACACACGACCTTTCTATGGGTGACTTTTGTGTTAGCTCCGTACTTGTTGAGACCTTACCGCCGGAGACGGATATCCGTGGGATAAGGCGAGGTGTGCATTTTTAGGGTCGTCCTTTTCTAACCCTACCCTGCCTTGTGGGAAAGCAGCATCGCTGTTATGTTGGTTGTCTGAAGGAAAAACCATCACACCTCTGTACAGTACGACTTTGCCTTCGGACCTTGGGTTTGCTGCTTTTAGTCTTACCACTCTTCAACCGAGCTGTCTGATATGGTAGGACTTTGAGGAATGATTGTTCCAGCTAGTATACCTCTATTGGTTCATCACGATAGGCAAGCCCGACCACCACTTCAAGGTAGCAACAACGTTCGGGTTGGACTTATCAGCCTTAGCTGATCATTAGGCCATTGAAAGTGTGTTGGGTGCGAGATTAATCTAAAGCTTACTGGTCAAAAGCTTTAATCACTAAGTTATCACTTTATCTTCTCTTCATTTAAACATCATATATCATAATTTACATTGATGATTCATTAAAAATTCTCAATCTACAACTGTATTATCATTTCTCAACCCTAAACCATATGAATCGATGCATGAAGATTTATGTGTTTTTGTTGCTGTTGCTTTTTTTTTATCCGAATGATTTCACAAAAACAAAAATAATGATTAGTCCATTGTTTCATAATCCACATTTTGTGTATTATCTTTTTTAATTATTTGTCATTATTTCTTATACTTTATTTATGCATGTGCTTGCATTAAAATTTATTCATTTTCTATATATTAAATAAAGCATGGATTAAGCATAATTATAATCATAATAGTGGAAATGATAATAAAGCATGGAATTTATTCAATTCTCCTCTAATCACTTCATCTTCAATGTTGTTTTCTTTACGTGACCGTCATCATCATCATCATATTCGATGTAATTCAATCATTAGCAATCAACCAATTCTCAACATCAACCAATTCATCAACTGTTCATTCAATAATTATGACCGCTACCAATTAAAATGCCATTATCAACAAAACCAAACAACAATTATGAAATTGTCTAATATTAGTCAAATTAAATATATAAATTTACCATTATCATGCATAGTACATCGTATACAATTAATTAAGACAAGATTATTTCATGATTTATTCAATTGGATTAATTTATTTTTAAGAAATCTTTTAAATTTATTATTTTTTTTATTACCATCATTATTTGGTAAATAAATTAAGAAGAAAAAATAAGAAGAAAAGAAGTTTATTGAAAATAAATGAGAACAAAAAAAAGAAAAGAAAAAAAAGTGGGGCGGGGGGGGGTCGAGGGGGAGGAGACATCATTTTATCTTACATATTAATGATTTCAGTTGATAATGAACTTGAATCTGTCCAATTTCTTGTTCATTTATTTTTTTTTGCGTTAATATGTAGTGATAATTTTTCGTTTTCGTTCGTTTTTAATCTTCTTCTTTTTGTTGTTGTTGTTTGTTTGTTTGTTTGTTCGTTTGTTTTTACTCAATTCGTTACTTTCTTGATATGTTAATATGTCTGTGTACATGTTCACTTTCGACAATATTCAAAATTTTATTTCGGTGATTGAAATGAAATGAAGAAAAAAAAGAAGAAAAACTTTAGTAAATAAAACTAAATCTCTAGAAGAAATTAAATTGTATAAAGGGTACACTTATTTGAAACAAGTTTTGTATGATGTTTCTATTCTCTCTCTCCCCCACCTCCCTTCCTTTTTATGTATTAACTGTTATATATTGTGCAGTTGAACTCTACTATACTACCATTGCCTTTTTAGTGTCTATCGAATTTAATCATTTTATTTATTAATAGACGAATTTTCAAGTTCTTGAATATCGAGTAATTCAAATCGCTGAATTGATCCATTCATGATAAACAATGTGTAATCTCTCATCATTTCGAATAAAATATTATTTCTGATTGAATGAATGACTTAATGCGCCATAAGCATACTGTTTTTGTTGATTTCATTTAATGACAGATAATTTTCTTTCTTTTCTGTTTGCCTCTGTATGCTTTTTCTAAAAGACATTCTGATATTACTTATTTCTTATAACAGCATATATATATATATGTGATAAATAACTGCTCAATATACTTGTATTTTAGGAATTAATTTTAATTTTATGGAAAATGTTTAATGGAGTAATTCAATACATATATGAAGTGATAATTGTTAGTTGTTTTGTTATATCTAGAGCTTAGATTTTTAATATGCCGCATATAACTTGAATACTGGAATGCTAGAACCCTTCCAAATCACACATGAGAAGACAGAAGACAAGTGAAAGAAATAATATTCCAATTAATATCAATTATGGTACAAAACTGTCAGGTATTTATAGTTTTTAGTAAGAACGAAATCATCATTATAGTCTTCCAATCCGCATACAGGGAGTTATCAGCATTTATCCAATAGGGGAGCTACATGTAGGGAATCTGGAATGTTCTTCCAAAAGGTGATTGGATGGAATATGTTCGGTTCTTTCTGAGCTTCTTAGAGCTTCCTCGAGTACACCCATGAACCGTACTCACATGTTTTCAATATCTTTTAGCTTATAATTGGATATATAGATAAACATTATACTATAGATAATTATTACAGTGTGACCATTTCAAGTTGATGTGCTTTTAGCACCGAAACATGTTGTCTGAACTTTTTAACTACTCTGTTTTCAAAATATGAAAATTAGCAATGAAACTTGTATTCCTTGTTGTAATTCAAACTAACAAATAATTACTTCTTGAGATTTATGTAATAATAAGTTAGTATTTACCTAGTTATACCTAATATGTTAGCTACTCAAAACAACTGATTTAAGCTTACAACTTAACCGACTTTCTTATTCTCATATGGAGAATAATGTTTAATTTTTTTTAACAATCTTGATTCGATATTTTAAATAAACGCCAACACTCATTCGAAAGTATCAACAGTTAAACACATATCATCTTATTTCAGTTTCCTTCAATGCTTTAGTAACATAGAGATAACGTTTCCTCAGTATATTCATCCTTCGACAAACATTTCATTATCTATCTAACATTATCAACAGTATTCTCAAGTTCCGGTGCTTAATTTTGTGTAGAGCTTTCTCTAATTTTGTTAAGATTTCTTTACCCACCATGATTAATTTATTGCTTCTATTATTCGGCTTGAACAACGTCTACCCTAAGTGTTATGATTTGTGAATTACTTTCTTATTTTAACGGACGGATGAGTAGGATGCTTTTTTAGTATTAGACGGGATTTACACAAACTACATCGATCGGGCGACTAAAATAGTATAAAGAGAAGACGAGACATTCATGAGAGCTTTAATATCCTCAACTTATAGCAGAGACAATGACATCTGAAAAATATTGAAAACAAAATTAACACACTAAATGACAAGGTAGATAATCAAATAGTAGCAAAGATCATTGTAATAGTTTAAGTAAAAATCTAAGAATCAGTTATGTGTGGTGACTAAAATATATTAACAAAAGGAAAGAAACCTAGATGTTTTGAAGTCTGTGATGTATTTCTCAGGTGCTGGAGTTGTATTTTCTATTACATCTATTGACCTCACCACCAGTTAATTCCTTGAGTTATCAAATTTTCTGAATTTGCTAAGTGTATTTTGACTAAAGCGTCCATCTGTGTACCCTGTAACTCCACAGTTGCCACATCGATAGGTTTTGTGCTAGGATGATTTAGCGAGTCGTCATTTACTACAATGCATTCTCTGTTTGATTTATTGACAAGAGATAATACGGTGATTGCCGAAAGACTAGGATAAAGAGAATCCAACGAAGAAAACTTTCTTTTCCACGAGATCATTTACTTAAGCTGTACATTTGTATTTATAGTTGTGTGGTAAATATGTGTCTATAGAAGGATAGGAAAGATTGCATCATAAACTGATTCGAGACTATAAGCAACGATGGACAATGTCTAGTAGTGGAATCCAGGACGCGCATCTCGTCGTATTTGGGACTCGTCATCTGGATGTACCTGGGATGCTAGCCATTATCCATCTTTGTTTATAAAGCTTGTGACTTAAGACTATATCGAGGCAATCCGTACATGATGCATATGTGTCAACAAGAGACTGATCAATTGCAGCCCTAAACATCAATGGGAAGATGCAAGCAAACAAAAAGAAGTGAATTCGATTCGAGACTAATTATAAATTGAGGTTACGTAATAATCGGAGTGTTAGATAAGAATAGAAA